CGGATTACACACCACTGAACACAAGGCGGACCGAGATCTTAATGATGATCAAGGATGCCCCATACGTGAAACGGCCACCTCGCCTAAAGGGAAATCCGAACGAAAGAAACAAGAATTTGTATTGTAGTTTCCATAGGGACCATGGTCACAGTACCGAGTAGTTCAATAATCTCCGAGACGAAATAGAGGGGCTCATCCGTCGCGGATACTTGAGAAACTTTGTACAGCACAACAATAATAACAATAAAGCAGATCGGCTAGGCGAGCACGAAAAGGACGCCCCCGAATCTAGCAGCAGGCCTGCCGAACCGTTGCAACGATAGCCTCCGGTAGAGAGGCCAATTCAGGGAACCATCCATGTAATTGTGGGAGGTTCGGTAGTAGTAGGGTGTACCTTGGCAGCAGCCCGGACTTCAGTTCGCGAAGCGGTCCTCGAGGAGCATAACCCTCCGAAAAGGCCAAAGACCGAAGAACCAATCCTCTTCACGGAAGACGATGCGCGAGGAGTTCGCTACCCCCACGATGACGCGCTTGTCATCAAACTAAGGATCAGGGACTTCGAGGTAAGACGCGTACTCGTAGATTCGGGCAACTCGGCGGACATCCTCTTCAAAGACTCTAACTTGAGCTTCGGAGCCCTTACGCCGGATTCTCCCTAGAGCTTCTTCACCCCCTCCGTTTCAAGTCCCCTACCACTCAGTTCAGAGGCAAGATCGTTGACAGCTAAGATTGCCCGGATTGTACATGATCACAAACCATCTTTATTCTCTTTTCAAATTTGCTTGGAGGTTATTGGATTGCAGAGGAGGAAATCAAGGAGACGAACCAAGTGAAATCCTTCCATTCTCTCTCTTAATTCTTACATTCTTGAAAAATGACTCAACTTGAGGATATCTCTCTTTTGTTATTTTATAAATCATAACCCTTGGTTTTTTTTATTGTCCTAACTGTTGTTGTGTTAGAAATAATGTATTATATTTTTTATATGACACGGTCTGACTCGTTCAAGTTGAATGGTTAAACCAGTTACTGACCTCGGATTGGTTTTCAAAACATTGGCTTAGAGTGAAATATTTTATATCTAACTTTTTGTTTTAATTGCTCGAAACACGTAATTATATGAACTATGCATGAAATGAAAAAATAAATAAATAAAAGATTTCTGCTGGCAGATAAGGATAAAACTGAAGTACGTCTTTTGAGCAGTGTGTATATCTTCCGTGGTTGGAGGGAAACTAAATAAAACAATTGTAAGTAAAATATTAATGCAGAATGGATCATGGAATGGGTAATTGTTACACTAGTGGTTTACAACAAAGACTATTTTGTACATTCTATAAATAAGGCCAACAAATGTTACAAAGAGATACGTTTGGCATTGTTCTGTGGGAATGTTTCCAATGTTCCTGACTTTCATTCGCTTCGTTCCCACATGACAACATGCATCCAGAAATGTGTTCCTGAGAAATTGGAACTATTCTTCAAGAACACATGCGAAAGATAGGGATGGAAAATTTTTCCATCTCTTTTGGGTATCTGACCTTTTCCATTCCGTTTCAATCCTGATTATATATTAAATACTATTTATATTGTATGTCAAAATATATTTAAAATATTATTTATTTTAAGTGAAATTATTATTTTTAAATATTACCAATTAAAAATTTTCAAAGATTTAGGTCTTTGTGGGGAATCTATCTCCATCAGAGATTCGGGATGGAGATTAACTTTTATCCCTGACAAGGATCGAGGTTGGGCACATGGAATAAGATCCCTACCCCGAAGCCACCCCGTTGCCATTCCTAGCTAAGTGTGTCATGTCCTTTAGAATTATGAACACACATTCTACATATGAGAGCTGCGGTATAAGCCAAGTCAATGTTTGAAACTTTGAATGAGCTAAAATCACACCGTTTGAATGAGAAAGCCACCATTCAAGCATCCAAGTCAATATTGAATCTTGTTTTAATAGTTTTTTTCATGAAGTGATAATTTGATTTAAGATAAACAATCATTGATCTATGGAATTAATTAATAGGGCTATCCAAACATCATTTCTATTAGAACAAAAATATGTTCCCTAAGAACAATTTGCCGAATAGGTCAGCTGTTTTTTAAGAATAAGGAATGGGATTTTTGTTTTAAAACGGGAATTTCGTCAAGAACAGAAATGTGTGGGAATAATGTCAACCGGGACTAAAAGTTCCATATAGATTTTAACTTTCAAGTTTTTCTTCAGAAGTGTTTATGGGAGGGAAATCAACCAATTTCTAAGGGAGGGCCTCACATTCCCCTCTTACAATTTGTAGATGATTGCTTAATCTTAGCCAAAGCCTCATTCCTAGCTTGCTCAAAGATTAAAGAGATTCTTAATAAATTCGCTATGGCCTCAGGTCAGTTGATTAGTTTTTCCAAATTTGCTATCAGATTCTCCAAGAAGGTTTCAAAGAATTTTGGTGAAGGTGCTAAGGATCCCCATCGAAGCAAAAGCAAATATTTACATAGGTGCTCCTATTATTGAAGGGAGAGTCACAAAAGCTACTTTCAATAATTTGAAAGAGAGAATAGCGAGTAAATTATCAAATTGGAAGAAAAATACCCTTTCTTTGGCGGGCATGGTGACCTTACTAAATTCTATATCGAATATGATCTCTCAGTTCATTATGAGTTCTTTTAAAGTTCCCAATAATGTTATAGAAGAAATCAATAAAAAGAGTAGGGCCTTTATTTGGGGAAAAGAAAATTGATGAGAAAAAGCTTAAGGATTTGTGCCCCCAAGAGTTGGGGCGGTCTAGGAATCAAAAATTTGAAGTGGGTAAATGAAGCAAATTTAGCCAAATTAGGGTGAAAATTCTGAATCAAAAAGAATAACCTTTGGGTTTGGGTTAGAGTGATAAGTTATAAATATTTTTTTTTTTTTTAAAAAGATGATTTCCGGAATGCCAAAGAGAAACAAGGCATCTCTTGGGTTGGGACTGGCGTGGTATCCTTCAAGCGAGATACCTCATTAAAAGAGGTATGGGATGGATTGTTGGGAATGGAACAACTATCGATTCGGAACCGCTCAGTGAGTTGGCTCCGAATGCTGGAGCGAGTAAAGAAGAGCATCGGGTTGTTGATGTCATTGATTTTGATAAAAAGGTGTGGAGGGAGGAGAATATCCACTACTCCTTTGTTCCAAAATCATGCTGGCATAAGATAACAACTTTAGTAATTCCACTGGATAAGGGCATCCATTCCGATATTGCTTGTAATTTGTGTGGGGAGGAGGCTGTGGATCATATTTTCAAGACTTGTCCTATAGCTAACCAAGTGTAACTTATGGATGGGTTAGGAATTAACAAAGATCAATCAAGAGAGAAAAACACTTGTATTCTTTGGTTCTTGTGAAAGAATAGAAACGATAAAATCTTTAAAAATCTTAATGCAATCCTGCTACTATCATTGAGCACGCTCTTCATCTGTTTATAGATAATCAAAACAACCCCATTTTGGAAGGGGTTATATCATGCTATAAGTCTTGTAAGTCCATTGTTTGCAAGTGTCCTACGGGAGAGATGATCAAAATTAATATTCATTTTGATGCATCGAGAAAGAGTGATGGCTCTTGTGCCATTGCGTGTGTAATGAGAAATTCTACTGGAAGAATTCTGGAAGTGAAAGCGTATTTTATTGGTGATACCTCCATTAGAAGCTTGGGCTGCATGGGAAGCCCACTAGTTAGCTTTGAACTACAAGGACTCTCCCATCAATCCATCATCATTGAAGGAGACTCGTTGTTGGTGATCTAGTGCCTGAATAAGAATAAGAAGACCCAGGAGCCTTAGAGACTGAAGACAATTCTGGAAGAATGCAGGAAGACCAAAGAGCATCTATCAAGTGGAGTGGAATATCATCATATTTTTCAAAGAAATGAATCAAGCTGCTGATTGATTGGCTAAGGAGGCATTTTCCCATTCAAATGTAATTTCCCTCTATGGAGCAAGCCTTCCTGGGGGTTGAGCTACCGTCTCGTGTAGCTCATCCTATTTCTACCTAAAAAAAGTCATTTTTGTCATGTAAGTTAGGTCTCAGTCATATTGTTACCAAAAATACAAAGAATTGTTAGAAGATTCAATGGTTCCACAGAATGCAAATGGAAATATCCAGCAGGTGACAAAACTTTTGACCCGCAAACAGGAAGAGTTGCTACAAGCATGCTTTCGAAATTGGACTGGACCGGAAAAACCAGGAACCGGTCAGGTGATCGATTCCATTTCCCCCCAAAACTGTTGATTTTGGTCAGCGAACCACTGAACCGGGCAATTAACCGTTCAAATAGTTGACTTTTTTTTTTTTGAATTTTTTTAGTTTTTTGTCAGAATGGGCCAAGCACTCAGTTCGAATGGTCGGACCATTCAACCTGGTAACAGATCCCTGACGGGTTCGGTCACCGGGTCGATTTTAAAAACCATGGCTACAAGTCTAATGTGCGTGGACTGCAACAACCAGGAGGAATGTGTTTTCAGAACCTGTGTTCCTTATTAATGAAGTAGTTCTCTTTTCTCTGACAAAAAAAAAAAAAAAAGAAAAAAACTGAGGCATCAAAAACACACTTTTCAAATTGAGTAAAATCCCACTCAGGTATCAGCTCTTCTGCATAACTAATTCATCAAGGCATACAGGCAAGGGACAAGTCAAATGTAAATCAGAGACTGTTTCGGACATAAGCCACATTGGGATTTATACCTATATAAAGTAAAACCGTGAATCCATCATCTTTTGGAACGTTGGCTATTAATTCGCAACTTCAGATACCAAATTAGGTTGACAGACATCAGGTATAGCAACTGTTTGATAAATTCGTGATCATATTATGGCTCTAGCGGGAGGCCAAAAAATAAAAAGTACTTTGAGAACAGAGAACCACATCCTGCAACAATAGTTCAGAAAGCCTTGCAGATTATGGAAAGTCTAATAATTTAACTATACAATTTCCTGGTGCACAGCAATACCAAAGCAATAATCAAGTGTCCGTACAGTGTTATTTTTAAATAAATTAATGTACAATATCTTGTGTTCAAAAATGTTATTTGAGAAAGCTTTGTTATACCTTTGCAGATTTTGTACAAGCCAGCCATAGATAAACAGGTCCAACTAAGATACACTAGAAGATTTGCACAAAAAGTGATCCTTCCAATTTCAACTAACACAATGAAAAGAACAAAAAAAACCGTCAATTACTTCAAGAAAAATAATATGTACATCCACATATAAAATCAGACACAAACCCTTTTAGCTCGGGGTGCCAGAGCTGATCAAGATCAAGTTCCACTTGTGGCAATCACCAAACGCCGGCCACACATAGCACTTGCCTGCAGTACTTCATCTACATGTTCAATCACTACGATGTTGTGGGATGTTTGATACAACAATGACCATCATATATATAGAGAGAGATCTGAAATCATCCATGTGCACATGCATGGACATCCCATATCCAGAAACTTCCAACAAACAAGGGTACAAACCTGAATAGCGATCAAAACCTACCACTATATGAAAGTCATAGCACAACATTTTTCTTCTCTGTACGAGTGAAGAGAAGGGTAAAATATGTTAATACTGTCTTGTCCCTTCAAAGCTCAATCCTTCATGCTGAGCTTTATGTTTTGAACTTTAACCGAAAGTTGTAGTTTCTGCTCTTCAATGTCTTTCAAAACTGTCAGTAGATTTGCTCGATAGACTTCACATTTCCGATTTGCACGGTCAAGCTCACGAGATAATTCCATGATTTTATTGTCTTTCTCATCCTGTAAAGGAAAATAATATGGTATAAAAAGCAAGTCACCATAGAAAAACATATTGTCTCATACAAGGAAATGATTAGATGTCTCTTTCTTTCTTCTGATCAATGAAATGATAAAGCATCGCCATCATGAAGTATTTTATCACTCAACCATTATATAATCTTTTTTATAAATTGTCCCTTCCTGACACTGTAGGCCACGTGAGCCTTATCCAAACTAGAGGTCCAAGTAGGGAAGGCTGGGCAGGGTTTAAGCTCAACCAGGCCCAACCATAAGAACTGGCCCTAAAGAACCAAGCCTGAACCGAGCCTCAGGTCAAGCGCAAACTGTCTAACCCCGGCCCGGCATGCAGTGAAATTTGATGTAGTTGGGTTGGGCTCAGGTTGGTCAATCAGTCCACACTAAAAATTAATATAAATGTATGTGTATATTTGTGCATGTACGCATATATGTATGGTTTTCCAAAAAAGGCATGCATATATGCATGTATGCATGCAAGTATGTGTCTATATATGCATCTATACATATGTATATAGAATATAGTTGGCCTGGGCTCCTGCCAGGTTCAGGCTACCCAAGGGTTAGGACTGAGAACGCACAAAAAATAGAAACTGAACTTTTGGGCCCAGGCCCAGCCCAAGGACAGAAAATCCAAGCCCAGTCCATATAAAATTGTAGGCTGGGTTGGCTCGGGTTGGGCCCACCAAGTTGCACCCCCAGTCCAAACACATGGACTTGCAATGGCCACGAATTCAACCATTATATAATTTAAGATGGTTTGAATTGAAGGAGCACGTTCTGTCAAAAGTTACCTTGAAGAAATACCTTATACCATCTATTAAATGTGAAGGAAGACCAAGCAAATTTAGACAATATGATCATAAACACAACGAATTTTTTATAGCATGAGTAGTTCATAAATTTGGCATTATCTTACATAATAACTGCAACATAATTTCCATCATTCAGCCACCAAGCATACAAGATCTCAATTTAATATTTTATATATGAATCAACAATCTCAAAAATCCAAGAAGACCTACAGACAGCAAAAATCCAGTAGAAATACTATATGCTCCCAGAAGAAAGAAAAAGAAAATAACTTAGAACTAACAAATTTAATTATTATGAGAAGGAAGTTTGGTCACCATAACTTAGAACTAACAAATTTAATAATAAATGGAGGAAAATAAAATTATATAACTAATTATATCAGAGAATGGAATCATAATTGAACTGGTAATATAACAGTACAAAACTCCAACATTCTCACAATAAAACGTTCATCAGAAATAAATTTGGTGGTAGGAAGATAGTGTAGATCCTTGCTGGATGTAAGGTATTGGCTTCACTGGATCAATCTATGAGAAATATCTTTACATATCAATCAGTCAGTGGATATCATCACTGGATATCATGATTACATTTTTCTTTTGATGAAAAGTAACAATTTCATTAAAAGCAAAGGATAGGGTACATGAGTGTACAACTGCAACAAAGACTGGCCAGAAGAGTTACAAGGGTAACATGCAGTCACTAAACAGGGAATCCCTATGGATCCTGGATTTTGCTAGACCATCGACCACAGAGTTTAGTTCCCTAGGGATCCATCTAATCCTTACACTCATCAAGCCATAATATCTCTAGCTTCATCCAGGTAGTGAATTAAACGCCAAGGCCCCCTATCCTTCTCTCCTAGCCATTTTATGGTGTTTACAGAATCCCAAATTCTTGGCAATTATGAGACCTGTTAAGGCAGCCACAATCTCAGCTTTTGTGGAGTCTGCAACCCCTATTGGGCCACTGTAAACCCACCAAATATTTCCATCTTCCTCCCAGATCACACCTCCAATCCCAGCTTTGCCTGGGTTGCCTACAGCACTTCCATTGAAGTTTAATCTTATTTCCATTTCCTCCACCCTAGAGAAATCTTAACAGCAGGTGGATTCCAAGGAGAGGAATGCAAAATGTCCACCAGATTCCATTGTAGGTCTGAAAGAATAACCCCTTTTAAGATCTCACAGCCTGTCATCCAGAGCTTGCATAAAAAGGTTATGTAGGAAATGAGATCTCCAATGATTCTTTTCTAGTTTTCAAAAACCCTTCTGTTTCTTTCTTCCAACACTGCCGTAGCACTGCATGGGTTAGTGTGCGGCAATAGGCTTTCCCTCTTTGACCCAAACCCATACCCTGCCATTGCCTAAGAAAATCCAAGACATGTTCAGGAGTAGCCCAACTGTAGCCGGTTATATGCAGAAAGTGGTTCCAGATTTTCCTTCGTCACTGAGGCACAAGATACAGACATGAGAGGAGATACATAATCTACCCCTGTTCTTCTTCTAGAGAATATCGCAAGTGTTTATTCTCCCAAGGCAAGCCTCCCACACAAAGAAGGAAACTCTCAAAGGAACAAGTTTGCTCCAAATCTTTCTTACTTGGAAACAAGATGTTTTGTTCACCTGAAACAAGAGCCTTGAAGAAAGACTTGGTTGAGAACTTTCTGGCTAGGTGAAGGATCCAAATACGGCTGTCTAAGAAGGAGAAGTAAACTTCTTGGAGGGAGTGGAGGAGATTAGTGACTTCAGTCATCTCCACATCCCTTAGGAATCGTCTAAGACTAAGGTTCCAACTAATCCCAGAGGAAGAAGGATAAGAGCAAGAGGCAACGGTAGCTTCTTTAGCTTGTGTGAGGCAAAACAATCGGGGATAGGATTCAGTCAAGGTTTGATTCCCCCACCAGAGGTCAGTCCAAAGCTTAATTTTGTTTCCATCCCCCACCGGTATCTAATAAAAGAGATAAAATTAGTGTAGGAAGCAGAGATAGCTTTCCAAGGGTTTGCCACATTCTCCTGGGTCAAGTGGACTTTGCTATCCCAGCTGTTGGCATTTAACCCATATTTGCTTCTGATTACAGCTGTCCAAAGTGTGTTTGACTCAAGAGGGAACTGCCACAACCATTTGCCAAGAAGAGCTAGGTTTCTTCCCTTAATGTGTCCAAGATCCAGCCCACCTTCCTCCTTTGGTTTGCAAACCTGCTCCCAGCTTAGAAGAGAAGATGGCATATTTTTTCTCCACCACCATCCCACAGAAAGTCTCATTGGAGATTTTCAATCTGGCATTTTACCTTCAAGGGGATAAGAAACACTGAAAGGTAGTAAATAGGCAGGTTTGCTTCCAAGTAGCTAGTTTCTTTTTCTCTATCACTAGATCCCAAAAGTGGGGGTTTCTTGGATTCCCTCCTAGAGGCATCCCCAAGTAGTATAGGCAGATTCTCCACTTTGCACACCAAGACTTCCTGAAAACTAATCGACTGCTCTCTACCATCTTTATTACCGCCAAGATGCTTTTGGAGAAGTTAACATGGAGCACAGATACCATCTCAAAACACTGAAACACCCTCTTCATATGAGTAAGATTCTCTAGACCAGATTCCAGAAAAACAATTATATAATCAGCAAATTGTAGATGTGAGATTTGTATTGTTTCTCTTCATACTTAAAACCCTCTTATCATGTTCATGGTCCTTACCTGCTCAAGAAAGTGACTAAGGACATCCACAACCAAGATAAAGAGAAAAGGGGAGAGAGGACACTCCTGTCTTAAACCTCTACTGGCTCCGAAATAACCTTTGGGTTCTCCATTAATCAACACCAAAAACCAAGCCGTACTAATACACCCTTTTATCCAATGCAGCCATCTATTGCCAAAACATTTTAGTTTCAAAATGCTCAACAAACAATCCCAATCAACTTTATCAAAAGCCTATTCAAGATCAAAATTGATCAGAACCGCCAGCTGACCTTTCATTTTCCTGTCTCTGACACACTCATTAGCCACTAGGATATCATGATTACATCATTCACTATATAAAAGGAGACACCTAAGAATCTTCTACTCCAAGGAAAGTTTGGTGGCTTTATCTATTCCTCAGGCAGCTTTTGCTTCCACAGCAAGGGTGGAAATCAATAAGGCCGAAAAACTAAGATCACATACATACATTTTAGATCAGTGGAGCATATTTAACTAAATACATTTTAGATAAACAAGTTAAAAAGCAAATGCTAATGTTGGAGAAGTGTCATCTTGGAGGTCACGAATCACAACAGGGCAAAACATGAAAACCCCAAAGCCTGTGTATTTGCAACAAAGGCCACTGTCTACATTTTGTCCTTTTATGATTTAAGGGCTTTGTGACTGGCAAGGCCCATCAGATGGAAATACACAACAGGATCATAACTGAGACAGTGTAGGATATTTTCTTTTTAGAAACATGTTGCACTTCTATTTTGGAAATCCATCTCAGGGATAAAAAGAATGTATATCACCCAAATTAGGAAGTGTTATTAAATTCTTAATGATGATATTGATGATAGTAGTAGTAGGATCATGTAGGATTTTAAAGGTTCCTTAAATTTAGGAAAAATAACATGTTTATCATATCTTACCAATCATATTTAGCTTAAAGAAGAAAAAGACCCACATTTTCTTATTAAAAGAATTTGTCCATATTTAAGTGTTCCTAAACCATCAGCTGTATTGTAAAAACTAAAAAGTGTAACCATGTTATTTGCCTACCAACAGGGAAATGTGAAATATGAATATCTAAAACAAATGTGTGTGTGAGAGAGAGAGAGAGAGTGCAAAAGACTGCAAAGAGAAAAGAGAACTGACCATAGTCTGAGGTTGACCCAAACCCCATTGATTACCCCCAGTGGCATAACTTGCCTGACTTCCATCAGTAACACTATCCACCTGGTTTGTTCCATTGACCATAGGAATCCTCCCACCATTCTTTTTTGCAAGAGCAACCTTTTTAGCAGCCTCTTGTAGAGCACCCATTGCCACATGGTAAATATCTATAGTTTTTGCTCCTTCATCTACATACTTAAGGGCCTCGTGACGCAAATTATTGTATCGAACAGTAAGAGACTCACGACAACTGTTCAACAGATCACTGGCACGTTCTTCTAATACAACACCACTCTTGGCATTTCTTGTCCACCGTTTCAAAACATAATGAGAAGGAAGAGTAAGAACATTTGTGACCCTAAAGACTGTCAATACATGTCTACAAAGAACGCCTGAGAACTCAAACATCTGGCAGCTACACGTGGCCTTCATCTCAAGCACATTGAACCTAACAATGTAAGCCTTATGGTCTTCTCCAAACTTCGCTACTCGGTATATGTTACCTGTTCCTTCATCCTCCATCTTGGTAGCCATGAAAGTAAGAGTCTCAACTAACTCCTCTTGAAACTTCATAAATAATTTTCTCGTGTAAACTTCTGCTGCTTGTTTCTCCATAGGTGAGGGAGTCTTGAGAATAGGGGCAGTGTTCATTGTATCATAATCAGCTTTGACTTCTTTCTCATACCGACTCTCAAGTGCCTTTTCGTGCTGCTTAACCAACAGCTGTAGGGTGGTTGAAGCATTTATATACCCATCAAAATACGAATTCATGCTATCACTTCGTTGGGTTATAGACATTTCAGCGAAGAATGTGTCACGCAAGTATACTGGGACCCACTGCCGCCGAGCATTATATATAGCCTGAAGCCATTCATTCTCTCTGAGATCATATTTATCAATAAGGGACAACCAACAAGACTCAAACTCCTCAATTGACTCAGTCAGGTTTACGCATTTGTGGAACTCTGCTTCAAAATTTGGATGATCAAGATACACATGAGACAACTTCTCCTGACCTTCTTTAAATATATGCCACTTGCAGAAACGATGACGAGTATTTGGAAACACTTGCGTGATGGCTGACCGTATCACTCTATCATGATCTGTTGTGATTGAGACTGGAGGGTGACCTGACATTGCTGTAAGCCATGTCTTGAACAGCCAAACGAATGATGTTTCAGATTCATTTATAAGAAGGGCACAGCCAAACAAAACAGGCTGTCCATGATGGTTTACACCAGTGAATGGAGCAAATGGCAAACGGTACCGATTTGACCTGAAAGTTGTGTCAAAGGTAACTGTGTCTCCAAAATAAGTATAATTCWTCCTGGCCTTGGGATCAGCCCAGAAGATATTRCTCATACACTGRTCCTCATCACCCTGTACRGCATAAAAGAATGATGGGTTCYGGGCGTGCATGTGCTTCAAATAGTCTAWAAGAATCTGGGTGTCTCCACCAAGTGTYCTCTGGCGACTACTTCTCATATAATTCCTACAGTCTCGYTCTGTGAATCCAACRTTGCTAATWCCCCCATATTCTTTTATCAACACAGACATGATYCCACTCGGGCCAATCCCAGCCCCCTGCAAGGTATCRATCAAGGACTTAGCAGAGCCAGAGACATGCCTATGGGACCGAAGGCAGTGGACTTTATCCGGCGGGACCAGCTCATGATTATGCTCCTTTTCGAACCCAGATACAACCCATTTCCCAGAATCTTGTATTTTCACTACCAACATAGCCTTGCAACCTACCCTGGTGATAGCTCGGGGGCGTTTGACCTTGCCATCAATGCCCGGCTTCTCTTTCTCAACCCGAAATCCTTCCTTAGCACATACGAAGGATCTCTGTATGATGGCTCCGTCCCGCCTTGAGCGACGGGACATGCTGACACGGGTGCTAAATCCAACACGCCGCGCATATGAATTATAGAAAGCCTTGGCGGCCTCTTCGGATTCAAATTCCATCCCCTCGTAAGGTTCAAGATTCGTATCACCCTCAGGAATATACAATTCCCGACCACCGGAACTGTCGACCATTTCATCGTCATCTACGGGATGTTCGATGTCCACGGTTTCATCTCCCATGGGCATATCGAATTCAATGACCTCGTTTCCCATGTTCAACGGTTCGAACTCCATGAACGATCTAGACCCAGATTTCCCTCTATAATCTCGAATAAAAAGCAGGTAGACTACTACTCATTATACGAAATTCAAATTAGAAGAACCAAGGAGAGAACTGACCGACATTGATTGCTGACAAAAAGAAAACTCGGGGATGACGTACTCCAGCTGCTCAACTGTAAAACAACCTCGTAGTGGTGGGTCTCTTCGGAGTAGAGATGGAAAAAGAGTTGTGACTTGTAGGGTTTATTTTGAGAGATTGCAGACATAGAACAATGGTAAAAGAAGATTACATGGAAACCCTAAAGTATCCGCAGCTTCCTCTTATGTTCCTTTTTGTGAACTGCAGTCTGCAGGGGTTTTGGGGTTTTAGGGGGGAAGTTGCAGCAGAGGGGAGAGAGAGGAGGAGAAAGAACGGAGGGAAGGGTGGAGGGTGGGGGGAAGGGGAGATGATCCAGTAATTGCTGAAGCAGGTGGGTACTGGTTCAATTCAACGAACGAAACCTAGATTGGACGGTGACAAGAAACGAGACGTATTGAATATTGAATTTGAAACCAAGGTGGGCGACGCAGGAGAATAATTACAAAAGCCCTTTCCTTGGACGGGGTAGCCCACCCCGCAACCCCATAGTCCATACCCATACCCATAGGCCATATGCCATAACCAAGTACCCTCAACTCAAGGCCTCAACCCTCAATAGCATCAGCATGCATATTGGGTGTTTAATTTGGACGAATGAATTTTTTATGGGCTCAAGTTAATGTTACTTAACATTAAATATATATATATATATATATATATATATATATAATATATAGGGTTTTTAAAAAAGCCTTGAGATGTTCATACAAGAAGATGTGTTATATCACAATTTCGAATCTTCTCTTTTTTTTTATATTTTTTTATTCTTAAAAATAGATCAGTTAGAAAAAAGAATTATTTTTCCTAATAAAACAGATTTGATTTTGGACTCTTACCCAATAAACATGGGAGTCGGGAGATGATGGTTTCTATTCCATTTTTATTTTTATTAGCAAAAAGATGGGAATCAACTACGTGGGAGTTGCCATTTTTATTAGGATACTTTCTCTTTAAGGTCTCTCGAATTTTTACAATCATTCCGTGGTTGCATCTATCTATGTTATTCTCATTTTCTTGTAAAACTTGTATATAAATCATTTTTTAAGGCAAAACATTATATTTCATTCAATTATGAAACGTGTATGAATTCAGAATAATAGTCACAATATCAAGCAAAAAAGCACAAAAACATACTTTGCTTTAATTTTCCTTTTACTAATCGTATTAAGTTGTTGGTTTAAAAGGAACATGCTGTAATTGTTATTTTTCTGAAAATCGGCCATTGATGTAACACTAGTGCATTTTTACAAGATATGTGGTTAATCTGTCGTTGTTGTTGTAGATTATTGCATTGGTAAAACCGTAAAAGAGATGTGCCTATATCCTATCCTCATCATGTACCACTCTGCTCTGAAATACCCAAATTAGCATGCTTTTCCAATCAACATGTTAGATAGCACCGAGAGGAATTTGGATTCGTTTTGATTTTTTGTAATCCCCCCATAGGGGTTAAATTAGGTATTACATAGCTTTTTTTCTTCATTTTTCTCTCAATGTTGACCTTTAATTGATTTCATTTGAGATTTCTATAATTACTAATCACGTCTTTAATTGTTTGCACTTAGCCAATAAGTATTGATTCAAGAATTGAAGGTGAATCAACTAATTGTTGTCAGTGGGTAGATGTAGAAAATTGGCAACCATATGTAACATGCATAGATGATAGCCACACCATGCATCTCATCAACCATATGTACATGCATAGATGTGCAGAAATATTGCTGCATGGCCAGCAATGTGCTGCGGTCAGCGGTTCCAGACTCATTGTGGAGATTTTGCAGTTACACACAGGTCTCATTCTATACCTCCAGATTAACTATAGAAATTAAAAAAAAAAAATTACATCTACAAACTTAAGTTAATTTTTTCCAACAAAATTTAAATCCATGTAATATCTATATCTATACTACTATTAAAAGTGTGAATGAATGAGAATATGAAACTTTTGTTTGATTAAAATATCCCAATTTTTGAAGTGAATTCTTCTCTAATTATAAGAATAAAAATGTAATTTCAACAATTACCTTTCTATCCATTTAAATAATGAAATCACTCTCATAATCTCATCGTTTAAGTCTTGCATTTAAGTTATTAACTCCCATTGACATTTATTTTCTTGAGTAGAATACCCCTATTTTTGAATTTAGCCCCTCTCTAATTCTAAGGTCACAAAATGTAATTTTAAATACTACATTTTTCTTCATTCAATTTACTCTCATTAAGTCTTATATTTAAAGTATTAACTCTCATTCTTTCATTAAATCCTATATTAATTAGTCATATTAAGGAAAAATAAGTATGATAAAGAATAATTGTTTTTATTGATGTTCGAAATAAAATACAAATTTAAAACCAATCCGAAAATGGAATTGTCTTCCTATTTGTTGGTGAGCCAACAAAATGTACCAACCTTTGATGTCATAGTTAAATAATAATAAAAATTTTAAAAAAATATGAAAATACAAAAGATTATAAAAATACAATAAATTTTGTAGAAAAACATATGGACACTTCTCTAATATCATATATTCATCATATTAAAAAAGTGTGACAAATAAGAATATCTTTTAGACATAAAAATATAAAAAATGTAGAAAATTTTGGAAGCATATTATTTACTATCATCATTAGGGGTGCAACTTGGACAGTCTAATCAAAGCCCGACCTGTCCCAACTTGATTTCTTGCAAGGGTTGGGCATAAGTTTTGGGGGTTGTGGGCTGGACTTGGGCCCAATCCTAAACTTGGGTTGGGCTTGGGTTAAGCTCGAGCTACCCAAGCCAACCCAACCTGAGCCCACCCAAAAAAATACATACATATGTGTATTATATTTATATAAATTCTAATTATGTATACATGTGTATATGTATAAAGTATATAAATGCATATTTGTAAACAAAACGCGTACATGTTTTCAATTAATTCTACTCTACAGTTGGGTCATAAAGCCCATTAAAAGATGAATACATAAAAAATATATACACAAATTCTTTCAAACCCGCCCAAGCCCAACTAACCCAATCTGACCCATCCCAAGACCATGCCCAATCTAAGTTGTGTGGGTTAAAGCTCAGATTGGGCCTGGGTTGATAAATTTGGGCTTATCCTTGAGTTGGGTCAGGCCCAAGCCCCTAAGATTTGTATCTTTAGGGTTGGACCTAGGAAATATTCAACCCAACCAAACCCAACCCAACCTGCCCAAGTTGCACCCCCTAATCATCATCATCATTATAAAATTTCCATGTGAAAAGCATGTGCGCAATACTAGTGTGGATAAAAGTGAATTCGGATTTGGTCCTTACAAGACCGTGCTCATACCATTCGCACAATGCCTTGCATGGGGAATATCTCCCCATGAAAAAAGCATACAAGTATAGAGATATTCCCTATACATGACTATAAAAGCATGTGAAAACAGTCTTGTGAGCACTGAACCCAATCTCCTAAAAGATGGGGTGAAGCTAAAGAGGGGACCCAGTTTGGAAGGAGTGCAATTACAAATATACAAATACATACAAAATCATAGAAAATGCATGGTTTTTCACTCTACATATTTGTATTTGTACTCCTTCCAAATCGAGCGTTAACGGTTTATGGGAGGATTGAACTATTGGGACATACAAAGGAAACATTGGAAAATGATAAAAAAAATAAAATATGACATGAATCAAGAAAATTACCAACTTAAATGAATAATTAATTATTTTATTTGTTATTATAATATTAATAGAAAAATTCATAAAATAGTTTAAGAAAAAATTCAATGCCAGGGAATTAAATTGACCTTTCTCTACCTTTTCTTTCAAACCAAATACAATCTAAAAGCACACCATTTTGAGTTTTTGACAAACTGTATTATTATGGGTTTGGTGGAAGAATCTTTTTATTTTTATGTGGTGACTTACAATCTAATCTTAATGTACAGTCTCAGAATGAGAAGAGTACAAATACAAAATTATATAGTACAAAACCTTGTATGTTGTATTTCTAAACCTTGCTTCCAAACTAAGCCTATAGCAACATTGATCGATAAAGTACTTCAAGTTCAAATATACAAAAGAAAAAAAAATTCAAATTGACAAGCATACATGGGTTTCTAACATTTTTTAGGGGGGTGGTCAAGAGTTTCTAACAATTTATATCAATTTGTAATTATTGAATAATTTGCTAGGAATTAAGGTAAAATTGGGTTGTGATGATAAGGATTAGAAAAAGTAAACATTGATAAAATTTTAATTGAGATAGGAATTCTCAGTCTATAAATTTCATCCTCATTTGCGGTTTCGTTTGGTGCATTTTTTCGCATGGGCTGTCAGCTTTTTAGAAGCCTGGCAGCCTACCTTTTCGCCTTTTCCTATTTTGGTTGGGAAAAGATCTATCCATCAAAAGATGCAGACCTAAAAAGACACGGGAAACCCGTTTTAGGCTATTTTCGAGAAGTTCCAAATGGAGTTTTTTGACTTATTTCGTCTCATCTTTGCATGAAAAGACACACCTCCAACCAAACGGGCTGTGGGCTGCCAAGATCTTTGTGTAAAAGCCCACTATGTCTTTTAGCTATCAGATCTTCCAGAAGATCTTTCAAAAAATACTTATCAAATGGCACGACAATCTTTAAAGTTTTCTCTAATATGATATTTTATCAGAGACCATGGTTCAGCTCAAAGGCCTCTCATTGTGCTTCATGTGTATCCATTTACATTGTTAGTTTGTCTTTTCACCATCTGTATCAACCATCCATGGATTTCTCAAAAAAAAAAAAATCCATGGAGGACAAACTAGTAGAACTCAAGCACAACGCTACGAGGTGAACTTCATCTTCAACCCGATTTGGGTCAAGCACCGGTAGTGGAAATTTGTGATTGAAGAATCTCAATCTCAACCATGTTTGTCCAATAGCCAAATGTTCTTCCACGATTGTCATCTTCAAGTCCCAATAAACGCTTTGCCCCCCATTAATTGCTTCATCATCACTTCCTTTTGCATGCTCACAACCAGCCGGGTCCAAAAAAAGAAATCCAACTATATATACTTGTGTTGTCCAATTAACATTTCATCAATCTTTGCTCACAAGAGAAGTTCAAAGAAATAGTCAAGTCCTTCTAAGCCTCCACCTTTAAAGCCAACTTCGATTGTGTCAATCACTTCCACAAGTTGTTTCAAAACCAAAATTTGTTTTTGGTTTCTCACCCTTGTTTAAACTTTGCATCATGTGCCACAAACGATCTTCGTTTTCAATCATAGCAATTTATTAACTTCAAGTGGTTTTGGTCATTGCCACTGTAAGTACAGTGGTAGGGCAATACGAGATGGTTCCCTTGAAAGACGAAAATGGAATTGACCTTAGGTTATTGTTGCAATTAGGCTCAGTCTTTTGGGGAAAAGGAGGTTTGAGAGATCTTGATCAGTGAGTCCTCAAAATTGTATCCCCATGGTTGGTCTCTTATC